ATGGATTGCACCGCATTTGGCTGTATTAAAACACGGTGGGAATGTAACATTTGAGCTAGGCCATTCATATTACTCCTAACAGTAACATGTCCTCATACCTACTATCCTAGCAATATTCATCACCTGAAAACCAGTTAGCAGCAAAGATTTAATTATGTGGATTAAATAGCTTTGGACCAAGAGAAGATACCTAGGCAAACACCTTAAGAACAGCCTGGCTCTGTGGTTTCTCCTCATTAACTAGGTTTCTGAGATCTGTCAGTAAACCAGTTTAATCTAACACATGCCCTATTGATTTTTATTTTTAAACAAATGCCTTAAATTATGTAAAATTATGCTGTTGTGGTACAAACCTCAGTTTTCCAAGTCTTGTAGCTGGCTTCTACTAAATGTTCAACAGGGTGTGGAACTTTCTTCCAGTCTTTGGTAGGGAAGATAACAGGGACTATGCCATACAGAGAATGGCTTTTCTTGTTCAACAATGCTGTACTTCTAAAGTGAAAGGAACTGAAAAGAAAACACAAGCACTAGATTGAAGTCAATACATTTCTCCACCTATTTCTTATCATGTAAAGTGGGCATGCAAGTTGAGCATTCTGTGCATAACTGGTGTTTACAATCCAGGATGCTTGTGGTATATCTGAAAGTAGGCAGGTGGACTAAATGGGGGGCGGGGGATAGGAATTCTTCAAATTGCTAGAGTAAAGCTTGAAGGAACACCTAACATAGGTGTATTAGGTATAGTAAGAATGGCCTTAAGTATTTGGACACCTACTTTTAGATGCTCAGTCCCCTCAGTGTTAATCCAGAGCCACCTATTAGGCATGTAGGCTTCTTATGTAATGTCTGGTGAGGTAAGTGCCTAAGCACAGAATGGAATGTAAAAACCCCAGGATGCTGAGCAGGGAGCTGCCTAGAGCTGGCAGTAGGTCATGATGAGCATAGCGGCAGATCCTGAGTCCCTCCCTTTGGAGCCTAGATCTCCAGCTTGGGGTTGCATGGGAGGCACATCTGAACACTTGGGATCCCCAGCTCTGAAAATGGCACTTGCAAGCTTTCTGTACAAGAGTTGAGGATGGTAGAGTCTTAAAATATGACTGGATGAGGATATAGTGCTAATGGCACCTCCTTTTATAAGCTAGCCTAGTAATTACAGCACTTGGTCAAGAAGTGGGAGACTCTGAAATTCAAACCCGTCTCTGAGAAGATTGCCTAATCAGCAGACTTTACACCAGTGATTCTTAACTGCAGTACAACAAGATCTGTTAAAGGGTGTCATGGGTGCTACACAATATTAGCACTCTTAGGTGTGCAAATACCAATACAACTCACAAAATAAATCCAGAGATTTCAGATGGGAATCAAAACTGTCAAAAACATTCTGACCTATTGTGCTTCTTGTGAGCTCTTCGCAACAAAAGAATTGCTCTTACTACTTTTCCATAGTCAAAAAACAAAAGCTAAGAGCTGGCATTATCCAGCGGGTGCCTCGAATCCAGGAAGGTTCAAAACCACTTCTCTAGGTTGTTGTGGGTAGTTTCCAACTTTCCTGTGGACACCAAGAAGCCAAGAGTTCAAAATTAATTGTGTCAGAAGGACAGTGACTAACCTGAGAGGTGGAAGTTCTCAGTTCTGGTGAGTTAGTCCAGTCCTGCAAGACAAACTCCCAGATAAATTTCCTAACCAGTAGACTACAGAGTCATTCTCTCACTTGCTTTTTATCTCAGCAGATCTTGTATTCTTTGTTGGACAACGGCATTGCTACAACAGGAAGGGATGGAAAGTGCTGCCATCCAACCTAGTTAGTAGCTTAATGATTGGAGCATGCCCTTAGAAGATATGGATTTTAATTCCTCAGAGCACAGAAGGAAACTGAATTTGAGTCTCCCATGTCTTGGGCAAGTGCTTTAGTCACTAGACCATTATATAAATGGACGCCACAACCATCTTGTCCTCTGTGTGCATTTTGAAAGAAATTTTAGTTATCCATGCATTTTGTGTGATTCCTTATCCTGAATAAATGCCTTAGAGAATGCCTACCACATCAAATCCATCAGGGGACCTCGAGCAGAGGAAAGGGTATTTCTTTGGGATTACAGTCAAGCTTGTACTTCAGTAGAGACAAAACGCTGTTGAGTCCCGTTCAAACTGAGATGCTCTTATACATGTGAAAAAACAGAACTTTCAGGTGGGAAGCAAATAATGTATTCATGAACTCAGGATTTCAGTCAGCTTCAGGGTTTGGTGGGAAGTGAGTTTCATAGATTCATAGATTCATAGATGTTAGGGTCGGAAGGGACCTCAATAGGTCATTGAGTCCGACCCACTGCATAGGCAGGAAAGAGTGCTGGGTTCAGATGACCCCAGCTAGATGCCTTGTGAAGAAGTTCTTCCTAATGTCCAGTCTAAATCTGCTCTCTGCTAGCTTGTGGCCATTATTTCTTGTAACCCCCGGGGGCACCTTGGTGAATAAAACCTCACCAATTCCCTTCTGTGTCCCCATGATGAACTTATAGGCAGCCACAAGGTCGCCTCTCAACCTTCTGTTGCGGAGGCTGAAAAGGTCCAGGTTCTTTAGTCTCTCCTCGTAGGGCTTGGCCTGCAAGCCCTTAACCATACGCGTGGCCCTTCTCTGGACCCTCTCCAGGTTATCCACATCCCTCTTGAAATGCAGCGTCCAGAATTGCACGCAGTACTCCAACTGCGGTCTGACCAGTGCCCAATAGAGGGGAAGGATCACCTCTTTGGATCTATTCGTCATGCATCTGCTGATGCACGATAAAGTGCCATTAGCTTTTCTGATGGCTTCGTCTCACTGCCGACTCATGTTCATCTTGGAGTCCACTAGGACTCCAAGATCCTTTTCCACTTCCGTGCCACCCAGCAAGTCATTCCCTAGGCTGTAGGTGTGCTGGACATTTTTCCTCCCTAGGTGCAGCACTTTGCATTTCTCGTTGTTGAATTGCATTCTGTTGTTTTCTGCCCACTTGTCCAACCTGTCCAGGTCTGCTTGCAGCTGTTCCCTGCCCTCTGGCACGTCCACTTCTCCCCACAGTTTTGTGTCATCCGCAAACTTGGACAGAGTACACTTCACTCCCTCGTCCAAGTCGCTGAAGTTGGGGATTTTCAAAACTGCAGTTTTGGATTTAAGCACCTGAAGCAGGACTTTTTGGATCTCACTGTGTTCCTGGCAATTTCCTCATTAATTTTCTCATTAATGGAGTTAATTAGTATATGAGAAGTACCAGTGCCTTCTGAATCACTGTTTTGCTCTAGATATTTTCCTGCTCAAATTAAAAGCATAAAATCTATAGGCAGAAAATCAAAATATATATTTTTAATAATCTAATCTGGGGTGTTGATTCATAGTTATGGTTATAAATTAATCCTGCAATCCATTTGAAGCACTAGATCTAATATCCATTTCATTTAATGGATCTTTTCTATTATTTTACAGTTGTATCTTTTAATTCTAAACGTACTTGTTTGGGTTTGTTAAATAACCATATGTTACACACAAAGGTATGCTAAATTGCTGAAAATTTAAGGGATGCTGTTATGTTGCTTTTTTCAATTAGATCTTTGTTTGCTGTATTACAGCTCAACCCTTAGGTGATTGAAATTGAAAAAAAAAATCAAATGTATACATTTTATATTACATTAATTGGAAGACTGAAAATAAACTAGAGTCATTTTCTGTCTTGCACTTACTCTTCTATTCAGTTCTACTTTCATCTTTGTATGTTAGCATGATACTAGAATTCCCCTCTTTTTCAAGCTCCTGTAGAGAGGTATGTGGAATAAAAATAATTTTCTCTGATCTGTATAGAGCAAAATTTTGTTCTTAACAGTTCTATTTTGGAATGTTAAATATATCTAAAACTGCTCTTCCAAGCAAAGATATTTTCCTAATAAATAAAGCTACATCTTTTTAATATTCCAGCATATCTGCTAAATTGATACCACTGTGATTTTAGTGTTTCACTTTGTTGCAGACATTTTTACAATGCAGATGCAGAGTTATTGACTAGTTAAACTGTCTGTAAGGAAGTAATTTTACATTGTCATAACAGTTGGTGCAAAAGAAAAGGCATTTTTATTCAGAGAAAAGATTAATAAGACCAAAGGAATGTTCTAGACAGAACTGATTGATCATGTGAGTACAAGTATAAGTAACCCAAATATGTTAGCTTTATTGCACGTTTTATGTAAATAACTGTCTGCTTGCTCCTCAAACAAAAATAAGGAATTTAAGCAAAGCTGACTGCAATGAATAATTATAGTTAATGTATTTGTGACTGACTAAGCAATACCTCTGTGCATCCTTCAAGATTGCCTGCCAGTGAATGAGTCACCATTTCCCCCATCTGTATCTATAGAGTAGGAAAGCCTGTGGTGCAATCTTGAAATTTTTTCTTTGAGGAAAGATCTGACTACACTTCCCCAGTTCCTGCTTGCAACATTGTATAAAATGCAAGTGCTTAGACTTTGTGCAGGGGGGGTAAAGTTTATTGTCAGACAAAATTAGTGTTCTGATTTTAAGCATCCTAATTAAATGTTCATATCCTAGTGTTGTTTGGTTCTACTCTGTCCAGGGGTATCAAACTCATCTGGCCCTTCAGGCTGGATCCAGCATACTGAGCCAGTCTGGTGCAGGAGCTGCCTGCAGTGCAGGCCCCAACTGTGTGTGGAACGTGGGGCTGAAGGTGGCATGCACGCTGCATGTAGCGAATGGGGCCAGACTGGGACACATACCATGTGTGGCTCATGGTATCAGGACCAGAGCCAGCATGTGCTTCATGTGGCACTTAGGGCCAATCCAAGACCCACCGGCAGCACAGTGGACTGGATTATAGGGCCCTGCTCTGACATCATTGTATTTGTCCATGGTAAACAAGGGAATAAAATTAAGTGATAAGATATAGCATTTTTATCTGCACCATTAAAAGGACTATTTCATTATTAAAAGATGGAAAATGAAAAACGTATTCATTTTACAGGTTCCACAGATTGTATATGCTATGCGACAGTGGGCATCATTGATCCAGAAACATCAGCATTACATATTATTGTAGGTAGGTATTTGCCTCACATTTCACTACCTTGCTATCGAGTTCATCAGAATATTCAGAGGGTAATGGAAGTAGCCATTACCCAAGGCTACTTCCTTCCTACTTTAGCTGCATAGAGTCTATGGTAAGATCCATGCTGACTGCAATGTCTTGAAGAACTGCAGATGTGGTAGGGCAAGTAACTGTTTCCTCTGTTGTATTTCAGAAATGATTTATGACTTGAAGAGTACAGTGTAATGTTTAAATATAAAGGACTGAATTTTACAGGCTATGTTAATGTTAGTATTTTCTGCTTTTTTGAGTGCTGAAACATTGGAATTCTAAGATTTTGTCCTGCCGTATGTTGACATTAATGGTGCTGTTCATTGTGTGTAAAGCGAAGTGGACATCTTTGAAGGATCAGGAACCTAATGTGCTCTCAACATACTATAATATTTTGTCTAAATTAGTACATCTATATATTTTGTCTAAAACAGTAAATGAATTGATAAATTAATTACAAAATAAACAAATTACTAAATACATTTTCTCAGGAGACAGACCTGACAAAGAATGTCTGCCATTGAACACTTATTTAGCTTTATCACTACTACAGAGTTGGTCCAGTAAAATATATCACCTTGCCTCTCACATAATTTATGGACCACCATGGCTACAAAATCGCTTACATTACCATCAAATTATGTATACATTTATATTTAAGACTGACATGATACAATATAAATATTAAATATAAATCAAAATAATTTGAACAGCTTACAAAATGGTAGGGTTCAACAAGATGCTGAGTTTGTAAAGATATGGCTTTGGTCTGCTTTCATGTGACCAATTTATTACTGTGTTTTCCATTGCCCCATTGTTCTTATTTTGTCTTCTTTTTCTTTTTCAAAAATATATGACAGGACTGTCCAATTTCAAAGCAGCTGGGGGCAACATGAGACGCTGGTTGTGGGCCACACACTGAGGGTTGCATGTCACAGAGGGTGCACGCTATACGTGCTCCTGGTACCCCTGCCATGTGCAGCCCTTTTGCTGTATGAGCCATGCAACCCATCCTCTCCACCACTGCCCTGCTACTGTGGGAGCCTCCCCACCTCTGTGGCAAGTCCTTTATCCCCATCTCCCTACAACTGCTATGCAGGAAACCCTCCTCTCCAAACCCACACTGTCATTGCTGCCTGGGCAGCGAGCTTATGGCACCACCTCCAACTATGCTGCACTGTCCTGAAGACCCTGGCTACTGCTGCAGAAACAGGAGCTGTGGCAGCTGGGCAGGAGCCCACAGGCCAAATACTAATCGCTCACAGGCCAAATGCAGCTCACATGTCTGCTAGTCGAACAGCCTTGATATATGGATTAGTTAGGCTTCAAAAATGTTTCTCTTGTTTTATGTATTATAAGGTTCTCCTGTTTTATGTATTATAAGGTTGCTATCAGAAAACAAAATGTCTGCTGTGTAAAATTAATATTAAGTTTGCAGTTGGAAACAGTGTAAACTTTGGTAAAACTTGGAATTTCTGTTCCTAATAGGTGACTGTCAGCCTTTGGATGTCTCCTCTATACATCACAACAACACATTTCTGAAATACTCGGTATCACTGTTGGGTTATGGTTTTTATGGAGATATATTAAAAGACAGCGAAAAGAAGCGGTGGATGGGTCCAATGAGATATGACTTTTCAGGTAACTTGTGCAATTGCTATATCATCTTTTAGAAAATCTGAAGATTATAGATTACCTAAGCATACTTCCTTGAAGCTTTTCAAAAGTTACAGTCTGTACATTTCCTATGGTAGCACCAAACACTTTGGATTTCTTAAAGATAATCTTGTCTCTTGTGAAACTTGATAATGGCGGAGGGGTGGCTTTAACACCTCTCCATTCAGGCCAGCTGAAATACGTGAGTTCTCTATCTAAATCCTGTAGCTGGCTTTAAGACCCTCCACTTAGGTTTTTATTATTCAAGTAAAGACACACAAGACAAGTGAAGGGGAAACATATTTTACCCCTCACCTAGTCTAAAAGATACAGAATAGCAAACAGCTGTGGAGAGAGGAGAATAATTATTCTCTTGGAATTCCAAAAGAAGGAAACAGAGAAGCAACAAAGGGTTGGATGCAAGCTTCAAATCACTAAAAGCTATTGAATGCTTTTTTTTTTTTTTAAGGTTTCAAGACGTTTCTCTCTCATCAATACTATGAGGGAACAGTTTCTTTTCAACCAGCAAAAGGTACAGTGGGATCTCCAAGAGATAAAGAAAGCTGTAGAACAGGGTAAGCTCATATTTATCTGTGGATACGTGACACAGTTTGCAAGGGCTCAGAAATGAAAGTTACTGAACTTTGATAAAGTAATCATTTTCATTTTCTGCATGACTTAACAAATAAAAGGGACACACAATACAATATTTAGTTTTGTAAAAGAGCAATTTTGTTTTTTCAACATCTAAAACATGCTCAAGAAGAGATGAGGTTTGTAAAAGAAGTGAAGTTCACTGGTTATCAAATAAAATACTTGATTTTACTAGGTCAGTAGATGGAAAAAAATATACGAAACAACCCCAGAACTGGCTTGCTAGTGTCTTTTATTATTACATGCATTACAAAAATGTAACTATTGACAGTCTGACACATTGTATTCCACCTTATTAAATGAAAAAAAATAAAAAAACATAGTGCTCAATTACAGTGAGATGCTCAAGGGAACATGTTATGTAACCACTAACAAATGGCAGGTTCAAAAGTCTGATGGCTTTAACCAAGGAAATAATTGTATTTGTTAGACATTTTTAGCCAAACAAGATTTTTTTTAAAGAAGCAGCTTTTCTTAACTGTTTTGTTTTAATCTGGTAACATTAGTCATCTTGTCAGCAGAGAGAGAGTGACATATTTTCACCATAACTAATTATTCCTGTAGCTTGTAGACTTTAGATTTTTCCATGTTTTTTTCCTTTCCTGCTTTGAGATGATAGATGTCCTTAGCCAATTGCAGCCTGCATTTATAGTCTAAGGGTGCCCGTAGATGTGGGGGACACCTGCTCCGATGCACTGTATTTACAGTAAAAGCTGCATTATCTGGTACCTTACAAACCAGCATGCTCTATTAAACAGCATGCTGCCTTGTTAGGTAAAAGCGAAACCGGAAGTGCCCACCATGGCACTTCCGGTTTCACCGAGCCCCCACAGCCTGGGGCAAACCAGCCTGCACTATCAAGCTCCCACGGCCTGGGGCATAGCAGCCTGTGCGGGACCCCCTCCCAGTCCCCCAGCACACTGACACAGCGGGAGGGGCTGCGACACGGCAGGAGGGGCAGCGGTGCACCTGACGCGGCAGAAGAGGCAGTGACTCGAGCAGGCAAAGACGCCTGTTCAGGCCTCTCAGATAACTAGCATATTTGGTTATCCAGCACCCCTCATTCCCCATGGGTGCCGGATAACAAAGCTTTTGCTGTACAGTGTGTTGGAGCAGAGTCAATTAATTAAGCCTGCTGGAGCATGCTAATTAGCACACCCCAGCAGCCTTGGCATCTGATGTATTCAGCGTCCATGCACTTCAGAATGGCAGCAGGGGCACTTTAACTAAAGCTTATTTGATGAGCATTAGTTTAAAGTGCCCCAGCCACCATTTTGAAGCACAGGATGCTGAATACATGAGATACTGTGGGTGCTTTAATTGGAGCAGCTTCTGAGAGCCACTCTTAATTGAAGACACCTTCCCCCCTCTTTCTCCCCCCACTCCTCCCACCCAAGCACTTGTGAAGATACCCTAAGGTTCCAGGACTGCAAAGTCTTGAGTATGAAAATAATGTTACTCCTGTGTGTGTTTCTGTTTATAGGAGTTCAGCATCTTTTCAAGTATTACAAGACGACTTTGGAGGCCAGCAGATTGATTTTTGATTAAGTCTTTACAGGGTTAGGACCTAAATTCTATATTCTGCTCCCACTGAAATAAATAACAAAACACACACTATATATAATTAGTAGCAGATTGGGCCTGTAATACAATCACTGATGTCATTTTATTTATTTGCTGATTTAATTTTGTCCACTAACTTTTCTAATAATTGGGCTCCAACATTGTTCTGTCTCTGTCAATGAGCATACAGTTAAATAATGAGTGTGACTGACCATGCTGTTTAGCACTAATGCTCCTAATTATATTATATGATAAATCATTCTTGTTTATTGTGGCTCTGTCCATTTCTAGCAGCTGATCTCTGTATTGGTTTATAAATCTGGTTTTGAGGTAACAGACTTGGATCTTTTAAACTTAGCTAGTAGAGTGTTATGAAATCAGTTATAACAATTAAACAACCTTGTAAAAGTTAAATGATAGTTTCCAACTAACAGACACAAATGAAAAGTTTTCTGACATGAAGTTCAAACTCTTCCTGCCTCCTGGCACTACTGCTAATTTGGCTTTCCCAACAGAATGAGTATTAGCCAGGTTTTTGCAGTTAGTGTCAGAGGGACAGATCCTGATTCTTCACAGAATTGTTATAAAATAAAGGAGGTTCCATATGAGTGCATATTTCCATCAGGGTGAATCCAGCTGAAGGAATGGGACAATGATATGCTTAGTTCTGGGGGTTGGGGGAATACATGCATGTTTGCAGCCCTGTTATGTTGTCTGAACTCTAGAAATCTAGGTATTCATTACAGATCTCATGGAATGACTTCAGTTTGTGCTCCCTAGGCAAAAACAAACAATTTCAATGTCATTTTTTGGTAGTTTAATTGAGTAAAATAAACTAGTGCACTGATTCTCAACCAGAATGCTAGAGCACCCTGGGATGCCTTGAGATCCTTTCAAAGGTGTAAAAGGGTGCCACACTGTGTTAGCACTGTTAAGCTTATAAGTATGATTCACAAGATAAACCTAGAGATTTCAAATAGAAACCCACAGTTGTGAAATTTCTGAGTTCTTTACAACAGAAAATCTGTTCTGTTATTTTGCAGTAGTCAAAAAAGACTGAAAATGAAGAACTAGTATTTTCTGAAGGGTGCCTCAAGTCTCAAAGGGCTGACAACCTGTGTATGTGTGCACATGTGCTACTGAAAACCACTGCCTTAGAGAGTGTGTGTGTCCCTTTTATGAGCCAGCTGTTTCTTGCACAGATCTGTTTAGTGTAAACTGAAGATACAAACTTTATTGCAACACTTGTCAGATCTTAATGATTAGCATCTGTTCTCTCAGCCAAAAGGAATTATGATTGTTGGCTTGGGGTAAATCTCACATTTTCTAAATATGTAATAAATAATTTACTAGTTAGAAAAACATACAAACATTTTTTTCATCTTTTAGGTGCCACATTTGCAGACAAACTAAACAACTAGAAGAGCAACAGAAGAACTATGGATTTGAACATAAAGGTAATGTATATGAAAGTTTTAAATAATGTACAGACAAGGTTCTTTGGGCAGAAGGGTGTTTGTACCCAAAAGCTTGCAACGAAAAACATTTCCAACTACAGCTACTCTTAACTTAATGTTGTGGTTAGCTTCTTGATAAATGCGACTTTAAGCGAAACATTGTAGAGCAAATCCAGTTACATCACAGTAGTTACCTACTAGCCGGCAGTGGCCAAGCAACGTTATAACTGAACATTGCATGACTTTAAACGACTATGTTCTCTAATAGATCAGTGACATAATAATGAAACAACGTTAACTGGGACAACATTAAGTGAGGAGTACCTGTATTTAGTTGGTCTAATAAAAGATATCACCCAAAAAGTTGGTCTAATAAAAGATATTTAGCCAAAGAACCTTGCCTATGTCCTTAGACCAGGAGTGGGCAATCATTTTGGGTGGAGGGCCACTGAACAAGTTTTAGCGAGCTGTTAAGGGGTGCATGGGTAGCGCTGCCCCTTGATAGGTGCCCCACTCCCTTGTCGCCATCTTGGGACTGGAAGTCCCACCCCTAACCCCTGACCTTTGCCACCAGAAATCCCTCCCCTTGTCCCCTCCCTCCCTCCCCCTCAGAAATACTCCTTTTGGGAGGGGAGGGGGTTGCCATCTTAGAACCAGGAAAAAAACCAAATCCTACACTAAAAGTCTAACACCTACTGTAACATATTTTAATTTTATTACAAAAAATATTTTTGTCCTGATTCGTGTTTGCATACTGTATACAGAGGTGATTGCATAATAACTCAAAATAAATTCTTAGTCTTGTATATTGTCGGGGGGTGTATGGTGGGGTGTGGGGGTATGTGTATATGTATGATGGAGTGTGGGTGTGTATGGTGGTGTGTGTGTGGTGGGGTATGGCTGTGTGTGGTGGAGCTAGTGTGAGTGTGTGAATGGTGGGGTGCCGGGTTTCTGCATGATAGGGTGTGGGGGGATGTAAGGAGTGTGGCTGACTGTATGTAGCAGTGGCATAGGATATGTTGGGGGTGTATATGTGGTGGGTTGTGGGGGCAGAGTGTGGGTGTGGGGTTTGTGGGGTGTGAGGGAAGGTGGGGTGGGTGTGGGGACCCCCCCTGAACTCCCATAATGCAGCAGCAGCAGGCAGGGCACTCAGGACACAGGCACCCAGCAGAGCACAGCTCTGGTCAGGACTGCACATCGCAGCAAGGGGTACAGCCTCACCCAGCCTGTCTGTATCGCCAGCACTCCCTGCCACTTACACACAACCCCTGCACTCCCTGGGCACAGGAGGGAAGCCCTGCACACAGGAGCTGGCTGCCTTCCCCACTGGGGCTGCACTGAACCACCCCTGGGGAGCAGGGAAGGCAGCCGCCTCCAGCACACAGGGCTTCCTTCCCTTGCCCAGGGAGTGCAGAGGCTGCACGCGAGTGGCAGGGAGCACCAGAGATACAGACAGCCCAGTGGGGGCGGGGCTGTGCCCCTCGCTGCAATGTGCAGTGTTGGCCGGAGCCACGTTTCGCTGGGCGCCTGCATTCTGAGCACCCCGCCTGCTGCTGCTGCTGCTGCTGTCCCTGCCTGCTGGGGCTGCGCACCATGGGGACAGTGTGAGAGGGAATTTGGGGGATCCCCACACACCCCCACCCTCCCTCACACCCACACACTGCCCAGCCGAGCTCTGTGCTGCCACTGCCCCCTGGGCAGGCACTTCGCACTGCCACCAGCCCCATGCTCTGCACCACCACCCAGCTGCAGCTCAGCCCCCACCACTTTCCTACCTGCTGCCCGGAGCCAGCAGGAGAACAGAGCAGGTCCCTGGGGGCTACAGCAGCAGCAGCTGCACACAGAAGCTGCGTGCTGGCCAGGTTGTGCCCTTCCTCCTACAAGGGTCAGAGAAAGGCAATAGGGTATATTTGGGGCTGTGTGTACAGTGGGCGCATTGCTCCCATCCTCCTGGACGGAAAGTCTGGGCAGGGTGCAGTTTGTTGAGGGGTTCCACGGCCCGGATGAAAGTGTTGGCGGGCTGAATTTTGCCCACCCATGCCTTAGACCAACACCACTACAACCAACACCCCTTAAATAATGTACAGTACTCCAGAAAATAATTATCATAAAAAGCTATATAATTTTTATAAATTATTTTAAACCAGTGGAGAATTCAGTGTTTGTTCAAGCTGAGCTGTTTTTTACAGAAAAGCCATAAGAAATTAACTCCCTGGTGTACTAATACTTCAGATAGTTGAATAGATCAGGTTTCTGAAGGGTGCATATTTTGTATTTCAGCTAAATCTTAGATCTTTCAGGTCAGGTACAGACAGTAAACTTTTACCGGTATAAGTGATCAGAAACTGGTCTATATCCATAACAGAACAGAAGTCCAGCTTACAAAATGGGTCTATAAACATAACAGAACAAAAGTTGAGCACATACAGACTGGTTTAAAAGTGACGGAATCCAATCTAAGATTTGCCCCCCCCCACCCAATCAAAGGACGAATGTATGTTCTGTTCACTACAGATCTAAACTACGCCATTTACCAAAAATCACGTAACTTAGATTGATTCTGCCTTGGGCCTTTTGAATGTCTGTACCTAGCCTCAGAATTAAGATCACAAAACAAGACTTAACTATTGCTAGCAGGAATCTGAATTGCCTCCTAGTTTTTACTTTATTAGCATTACAATGCATGCTGAACAAAGGCATGCATTTGTTTTTTAAATGTAAGTATTATTTTGTGAGCGTACACTGTTAGCAACCCATTTAAAATCTTTGTCATTGACAGCTACTGGTATCCAGTATAGTATACATACGATGTTTTTCATTCC